TGCCTCCTTCAAGTTAATGGTGGGATCTACTAGGCCGTGGTGGCAAGCATTCTCTACCTCCAAATCATCTGAAATGGTGGAACCCACAAACCGAAAAACAACTGTATCCTCCCTGCGTGGTCTTTCTTGAAGTGGACTCTCAGTATTATGATCTTTCAATGGTTCTGAAACAACATCACAAGGAACTGGAAAAACAAAACATCTATCACCCTCATCCCCATCATCATCATCATCATATATTTGAAATGACTCTTGGGGAGGTTGACGAGTTCCAAATCTATCAGCTTTTGAACCGTCAATTGTTTTCTCATCAACATATACCTCAAATTCATTGTTGGGGACCAACCCAACTTTTGGTAGGCTTCGAGAAGATCTATTGCCAGTACATGGTGCCTCTAGTGGCTCACAGAACATGCTATTAATAGCATTCATAGCCTCTTTGGTGTTGATTGTGGGTTCCACAAGACCATGATGCCTAGCATCTTCAACATCAGACTTCCCAACCATAGCATTTCCTACGAATTTAACTACAACTGTGTCATCCCCAGTGATTTTTCTGTTCTTATTGGGTTCTTCACTCTCTTTGACATAAACATTCCTGCTGAAACCATCCATGGCTCCATTGTCCGCGGATCTCCCGGCAAGCACTTCCACATACATGGGATTCACTCTTAGGTTTTTATAATTATTATTTTCCTTCCCTTGCAGCTGTACAGGACCCTTGGTCACTACAACCTTAGGATTGTTTTCAGTTGTGTGAAAGTTCTCACTTTTGTCCTTAGAACCTTTATCATTCAGGGGAACACTGATAGTTGAAGGCAGTCTGTTCCAACTTTTTCGTTCATGGCACTGCAAGAGATATGACATGGTTATAATTTACTTTCAGTGTCTAATTGGAAGGAGGGTTTTGAGGGCTTCGTCTATATGTTGATAAATAGAATATTTCTAAAAGCGAAAAGAGGTGGTTGGAATGTTATACAATTACATACAATAATGTCTTTCAATCTTTATAAGATCTCAAAGATACATCAATATATAGACCAAGTCCTCCAAAACTGTAGATCAAAACAGACCCTTGGGATGTAAAAAGAGCTTAATACAATATATCATTAATATGGAGAACCTTAATTCTCTTGTTTTTATGCTTCTGTAGACGAATCATGAATTGATCATATGATTTCTGCAAGTCATCCAGAGGCTCTGCAAGGCTGCTTATAGAAAAGTGATATAAAGTATATAACTACATTTCAATGATAATTAAACACAGTCATGCAAGACAGTTACTAGGTTTGATGTGAGAATCAGTGGATCATGGCACACTATCTTCATACAATGAGGTCTTCATAAAATATGATTTATTCATAAAACCATTTTGTACCAACAACAAGCATTATGGTGTTTGTGTCATGATTCTTGCAACAACAAAAATACACTCAGAGAACAAAAACAGCAAAATCATTGCAACTTAGTCTGCTCAGTTAAAGGCATAGAAGCAGTAGCTTTCCCATGAATTATTCACATGATGGTCCCAGCAGATTGATGAGCAGAAACAAAAAAAAAACAAAAAAAAACATTCTTACTTTTGCACACCCAGATGGTAGACCTTCTCGGCAGCTTCATAGTTTTTCCTTTTCTCATAGCAAAGAGCATATGCTTGGTAAAATAGGGCGTTCTTCACCCCAATACGGTTATTTTCCATGTTTCTTAGCACTGCTTTTGGATCATCCACATAATCTAGCTAAGAGAATACAAAACAATTTGATTTAGAAAACATCTTCCACTACTATTCATATGAATTCCAACCCTAATAGTTACTATTTCAGAATCAAATGTCAAATACTCCCTGGCATTATCAATCAATCCTGTTTTTTGTTGTTCGAATTAAGACTCACAAACTACAACATCAACAACAATTACAATAACTACAATAACAAACCCCAAGTAACTGGGAAAATCAGAGGCACTGAGTCATTTACCAGTTGTAACCAAACCCGGAGGTACCGCAAATCATTGGAATATCTCCTATCAGTCTCAAAAGTCTGCACACATTTCTGCAGAAATCTAGGGAGCTTGGCCGTAAGGACATGAGGAGGAAGAGACTCCTTCATCTTCCTAATCCCTCTGTTGCAAACATAATTCGAGATCGTAAATGACATATTACTTATCATTACTACTAAATCGATATGGGCTTGAAAGATAAGAGCACACGGTGAAACGGAGCTTCTTTACCTCAGCCACGGAAGAAGAGGATCGTTTCCGGCGTAGGACTTGATGTCGGAGATGACTGAAGAGAAGAGGTGGTTGTACAGAGTGTCGCCGGTCGCCATTGATGCTCCGCCGTGGGTAGCCTTGATGGAGGAGGATCGCGGTGTGGAAAGCTCTGAGTGAATTTTGAATTTTGAAAGAGTGCTTCAATTTTTAAAAAATGGCCCCACTTGTAATATTTGGCAATTTATATTATACAACCAGATGTACGGGAAGAACCTTACTGCTGGCATTTAATTGAGGCGAAATGAAAAAGTGCGGCATGGCGAATTGATTGGCAACGAAGGAGGCTGTGCGATGGAGGCGGGTTGGATTCCCAAGTCATTTGACAATGAAGGCCTGATGGAAGTTGTTTGCAAGTCCGATTGGTGATTGGACGATGAAAGTCTCATGCGCGATCTGAAGGCTGCTTGGATATGCGAAGATCTGGTCAAATTGGCTCCGGTGGACGTAGCTAGAAATTCTGCTTCCAGTTGCTCCGACGATGGTCTTCCGCTTCTAGCTAGAGATCTTGTCTTCCGCGTAGTAGATTTCAACTTGGACATATGAATGGTATGTTGTTTAATAACGAGTACTAGGTTATATGGTAATGAGTACTCTTGGGTTTTAGAATAAATATTACGTTATTCATAAATGAATATTGAACAAATGTGTGAAAATGAGTATAACATTATGAATAAGTACTACATTGTTTCAAAATGAGTACCACGTTTTTTCAAATAAACCATTATGCTTGTACAAGAATGAGTACTTCTTTACCTTAGAATGAGTATTACACGGATGTACCTATCTCTAGGTACATCCGGACGTACCATATACACTCTCCTCATATTTTTTACATGGCAATCTGTGGATTTTATGTCTAAATTTTTACACCAAGGTCAATTTTGCCGTATTTTGATGGTTCATACTACAACAAAGTTTTATTGTTGTCTAAAATTTTATATTGTCATTTTATATCAGTGTAAGTTATGGGTGTTCAAACGGATTGATCCGATCTGACCCACAAAAATTTGTTTTGTTTTACGTAATACACCCTCCGTCTACAAATAAAGTTTTCACTTTCCTTTTTCATCCGTCCAAAAATAATCTTCCCATTTCTATTTTTGGAATTTTTTTATACCTAAAAATCTAAATTACCCTCCCACCCACTCCCTTACCTTTTCTTTTTCTTTTTTCCTTCCCCACCCGTTTCCTTTCCACTATGTTTGGTTCAAGGAATTTGGAAGGAAAAGAAAAGAAAATGGTTTTCTCTCATTTTCCTCACCAAAATGGAAGGAATTTGGTTTTTCTTCCACTTAGTACATTTTGCCTTTTCATTTTCTTTTCCTTCCACTTTTCCTTTCTTTTCCCATCTAACCAAACAAGAAAAACAGTTTTCCATTTCATTTTCTTTTCTTTTCCCTTTCAAATCCCTTGAACAAAACATAGTGTTCCAGCCGCCCACTTTTTCTTTCTTCTCTTTTTCTCTCATCTTCTCTCTTTTCTTATCATCATCTTCTTCTTTCTTCTTCTTCTTCTTTTTGTCTTTCTTCTCCTTTCCTCTTCTGATTTTTTCTGTAAATTGAGAGCCGTGAAGTAGGGATTGGAGTAAAGGTGGCCGGTGGGGCAGCGAGGCGGTGGCGGTGATTGGAGGTGATAGGGCTGTCCGATCTCCTCCTCCTCTTCTTCTTCTTCTTCTTCTTCTTCAATTCCCATAGTCCAACACCCAATCCATCTTCAAATCTTCTTCTTTCTTTTATTCTTTCTTGTCCATCTCTGTCAGGTCTGAGAAGTTCGATTCAGATCTGTGAAGGGGGTCAGATCGATAAAGAAATTGACGGTGGTGACAGAGTACAAGCGTTGATTGATGATGGCTTGTTGGATCGGAGGGAGGAGCCCCAAGTTTCTTCCTTCGTTTTCTTTTCTTTTTAAAAAAAAATTGAAGGAGCACGCGAAGGGGACGACAAGTAGTTTGGCGGCAGCCGGAGTTGACGTGGTAGACCATCAAGGCGGCCATTGGTGATAGTGGTGGAGCAGCGAGGAGGTTTGCGCTGGGAGGGTACATCCGAATGTACAGACAGAAAATTGGGTGGAAAGGAAAAGAAGACAAGGGATGAGGGATGGAGGGGTATTTTAGGAAAGTCAAAGGAAATTTTAAGTTTTATTAAACTTCGTGCCAAATCAAAGCGTGAACTTTAATCTTGGACGGAGGGAGTATGACAAACATTTTGGACGGAAGAATTTTTATTATTATAAATACTTAGAGCATTTCCAATCATTCAATTTTGGCTTGCTAAAAGCTATGATATAGCAAGTGGACTTTTTTTTCATCTCCAATGGTTGTATTATATTATAAGGAGCTTGCTAAAAAATGAGTTTGACTTGTTAAATATAACAAGTTCTCCAAAATATAGTAAGCTAAGAGTTGTATATAGATTAACAACTCATGGTTTGAAAATGAAACAAAAAGTTGTTTGATATATCACTATTCACTTGCTAAAATATAAAAATAGCAAGCCAATATAGTAAACATGGTTGGAGATGCTCTTAGAAAATGCAAAAACTAAAGGGCTGTTTGGCAACTTCTGAATAGGTAAGTAATGAACCAGTAAGAAGTCTGAACCATTAAGTGCTGAACTAGTAAGAGGTCTGAACCATTAAGAGCTAGTATATTGCTTAACTATTCAGAGATAAATGTCTGATCACTTCAGATAAGAGGTCTTAACCATTCAGACTCTGTATAATACTTAACCATTCAGAGGCAAATGTCTGAACCATTCAGATATCTGAACCATTAAGAGGTTGAAACAAAAACCGTTAGGGAGAAGGAGGGAGTACTTTCCTAAATTTGAACTATTATCATTTCAGGAATAGTTATTAGTTAGAGAATACTGTATACTCCGTATTACTCCGTTACGAAACCCAATAGCCCTATGGCGGAAGAAACCGGAAAGGAGCGTTCCTCCAGCGGCGCTGGCGGCGGAACCAAAGCCGAGGAGAAGGAGTACGATGGAATAGAAGAAGTAGAGGAAGACGAAGACGATGGAGGGGAATTTGAGCCGGCGAGCGAAGAATCTCGGATGCGGACCGATAAGGCGATGGTGGAGAGCTTCTTCCGACGAATGTCGTCGGAGGATGTGCCGGTGAGAGTCCACGACGTGTTGATTAAAGGAAACACTAAGACTAAGGAAGCCCTAATTGAGGCCGAGGTTGAATTCGTCAAGTCTGCTACTACGCTCCAGGAGTTGATCCAGGCATCCGGTTCCGCCTCTGCCAGACTTCAACAGCTAGAGATTTTCGATGCCATCAATGTCACTCTTGCTCCTGGGCCTCCGGAACTTCCCGGGACTGCCAATGTGATTGTTGAAGTCAGTGAAACCAAAAACCCTATTTCCGGAAACATCGGGGCATTCTCCAAGCCCGGGGTAATATGCTATATGCATTTCCTCTTTCAATATATGTGAATTGATGCCTTGTTAGCTTTATTTGATTGAAATGATACGGTAGCCCTGGACAAAATCTAGTTTATGCATCTATGTTACTAAACATTAGGATTTTGAATATTGTCTGCAAACATTTCCTAAGGTTCTAAAGAAAAATGCACAGAGGATTCAAGGGTGTATTTGAAATTGAAAGCAGTATGGCCATTCCTTCAGGTTCAATTGACTATGCTGTGACTTGTGAGCTATTCAACTTGCATTCTAAGTTTGAGCTCACTCATCAGAATATGAAATTTCAAAGAGATCAGATCAACGACATTTGAAGTTGGATATATGAAGACTCTTATCCCTCCAGAAGTAACCAAGTCGTAGGAAAAACAATCATGCTCCCTTCGTGTTAATTTCTTGTTTTACTGATGCTGGACTAAATTATGTAGGTCTTCCATGATTTTTTTTCAAAAGATATCTGCAATATTGTTGCACCAGGATTTTTAATATTCTACTTCATTATGTTCAATTTCTTATTACTGCTAGTTGTCTGGAAGCTAGGGGTCAGTTTCACAACCACCCTCCGCACTCAATCTAGAACATTTTTTCTGATTGTTTCGAGGGTCAAGTGGTCAACAACCATCTGTATTTTGTATCTCCAATATCTCAAATTACTTTGAATACTTGATGTATATGTTTACAACATTCATCGACTATGGCCTTGTTTGGATTACATAAATTATATGTTATCAGTTTGCATTAGCAGGTAGTAACTAGTAGTTAGCAGTTTCCGGAAGATGTTTGGTAACTTAGCATATTCTTACAACTTACTAGGAGTTACTCCCTCTGTCCCATTTTAAATTGCCTGTTTTCCTTTTTTCTCCGTCCCAAAATAAGTTGCATGTTTCTTGTTATCGTAAACTTTTAAGAGTAAAATATCTAAACTACCCCTAAAATAAGTCACTCTTCTCCACCGTATCTTCTCATTCATTGTTACCCCTCCTAAAAAGTAATGGCAATTTCGGAAAGTCAACTCTAATTTTTCTCTTCCTTAAATATGCCCCAAAGTCAAAACATGCGATTTAAAACGGGACGGAGGGAGTAGCAATTTAATGTGTAAAGTGACAAAGTGTTGAGAAATATTTTTTTTCAAAAAGTTCTTTCTAAAATGCTTGTAGGATCAACATATTCAAAAAGAGCAATTTGACATCAGCACGTTCTATAATGTTATCTACTAAGGTCTGTTCTTTTTGGTTGAAATTTTAAAATTGGATGTTGGAAAAAATTGGAAGGAGTTGGAAGAAACAAAAAGTTGAAAAATACTTGAAGGAGTTAGAAAATGTTTGAAAAAATAGATTGTTAAAAAACAGTGAATTAAATGATCACCCAAATCAATATTTTAAAAAACTAATTTTGGATAAAAAAGAATTCATCTTTGTCTGTGTTTGAGGTGTTATGTTATAAATTTAGATATATGATGTTATTTAATATTCATCATGTAATTAGTTTTTTTTAAGTTGAAAAAAACTGGAAGGAGTTGGATGGAACTAGGAGTTGGATGGAACTAGGAAGGAGTTATAGAAACTAGAAGTTAACATTTTCTCACCCAAAAGAATAGGCCCTAAATACAAAGATAAAGCTAGGGGTAACTCTTGGGGTTCTCGCCACCCTCCCCCAAACATTTTTTAATTAACTTCTTAGGTTTGTATGTTATTGTGTGTATCTTTTGAACACAGTGTGTGTGTATTTTACATACACACACACATAATTTGGACCTGTCTATAACATTGAGTGCTAAATTAATTATTACTTGTATTATAAACTGTTAAATAGATTAGTCCAACTTTTGAGTTGTTATGTACCTTAAATTTCAGCCCCACCCCCACTCCCCCCCGCGAGTATTTTGTTACTGTCTCCATCTCAAACCAAACACCACAGTTAGCATATTTAACCAGTCAAACATGCTCTTTTCCAAAATGCTAGAAACAAGCATATTTGTAAACAAGGCCCATATCTGCATGCTGTTATGTTTTTGTTGATTTCCTTCATGGTGACACATTTATGTATTACTGAATTTACTGTCAAGCTATGCTGGAAAACCACATTTCCTTGTAATGTAATTTAACTCTATATTTTGTTTTTGTTTTTTTTGTAGTCTAGAAGCTGGTCACTTGAAGGCTCATTAAAATTGAAAAACCTATTTGGCTATGGGGATTTATGGGATGGTTCTTTGGCTTATGGTTGGGACCAATCATCGGAGATCAGTGCCGGTGTGTATTTACCTAGGTTCAAAAGGTTAATCACTCCCATTACAGCCAGAGCATTTCTACTGTCTCAAGATTGGTTGAAGTTTTCTTCTTACAAGGAGCGATCATTAGGCCTTTCACTTGGCCTATTATCATCAAAAAACCATGAGTTAGCATACAATGTCTCTTTGCGAACTCTGACAGACCCTTCACAAATGGCCTCTAAGACTGTTAGGAGGCAGCTTGGACATGGTTTGCTCTCAGTCCTGAAATATACATTTAGAGTTGACAGGAGGAATTCACATCTAAGACCAACCCAAGGATATGCATTTGTTTCTACATCACAGATTGCTGGCCTTGTACCAGATTATCGTAGTATACGCTTTCTCCGTCAGGTCAAGTGTGTTTTCCAGTTTATGTCATTAGTATGCAGCGCATCTTTTTCTTTTCATTTAAAGTACAATGGTTCCATACTTCCAGCCTTATTTAGCTTATTTTAATTGTTCTATGTTCATAGTTTATCATATTTGTTGTAAGCAAGCTCATGATTTCTTATCTTTTAGACATTCACTTTTGACTATGAACTGTGGTTTTCAATTACTCACCATGTCCTAAACAGAGTTTAATTTCAAAATCTGTTTTTCGTCCACAAACATGTCATGTTTTAGAAAAAGAAACCAACTCCTTATAAGTTATGCCAAAATATGGTTGTAAACAAGAATTTTCCTCATGTCCCAAATTGGTGTCATATTTGAAGAATGCACACATATTGAGGAAACTTACAAAATGACTCTTCTATCCCTTTAAAAGTGAAATATGAAATGTTTTTATCTCTCTTCATGGTACCAAAGTACACAATATAGGAAGAGTTGTGAATTAATGGGGGAACTTCAGATCAGGAAAAATACAGATTGAGTTCATAATACTATTTTGGGAAACATTTCCCTCTTCTAGTTTTTTTTTGTATAAATAAGTAAAATAACTAAATAAGGTACCTTTCCATCCTCTCCCCCCATTTGAAAAAAGTATTAATGCAATTGTTTTGTTTCTATGATGGTCCATCCCATTTTGACGCTATGACTCTCTCTCTGTGATGAATTTTTTATGTATTTTACTGACAATGCATGAATTCAAGGGACTGGATTGTGTATACAGGAGTTTGATTTTCGTTATGCTCTACCTTTTGGATTTTACAATGCTGCACTGAATTTTGGGGTTTCTGCCGGTGCCATTTTTCCATGGGGAACTGGATTCATGAACAAGCCCACGTTTCTTCCTGATAGATTTTTTCTTGGTGGTAATACTTCTCCAGTCTGCTCTATGGGAGGCCCAACTTCAGTCTTTGGTTTTAAGTTAAGAGGACTTGGCCCTTCTGAGCCAAGAAGGGCAGTAATCAATGAAAGTTCTGATTCTTCTGACTTGGACTTCGTTGGAGGAGATCTTGCAGTAACTGCTTTTGCAGATCTTTCGTTTGATCTTCCATTGAAGATCCTCAGGGAATCTGGTATCCATGGCCATGCTTTTGCATGCACTGGAAGCCTTAACAAACTGTCTGAAAATGCATTCAGAGGCCTATCTATTCAGAAGTTCCGTGAATCATTCAAAGCTTCAATAGGATTAGGAGTCATTGTTCCCACTAAGCTTTTCAGGATGGAGGTTTGTTTACTTGCCTTGAGAGTTACATTTGATAATATGTTTGTGTTTTTAGAGTGGCAAGAAACTCTTTGAGAATTTAACTTTTTTCGTATCTTATACTGAGTACATTTCCATGATCTCTTTTTTACTTTCAGAAACATTCTATTTATCAAAATATTCCGTATAAAGTAAGCCCTTCATAGGCCTTCCCCTAAAACCCTTCATCCAAATAAGATCCTTGGTAGTTTTCTCATTCTT